GGCCGCCGAGTGGAAACGTCGCCCCGGAGACTGCCGCAGGCAGCGGCGGGGAGGGTGGTGCTCCCCAGGTTTGGGTAGCGGGCCCAAAGGGGCGTCGGCACCGGCACGCCGGAGGCTGCCTCGGGCCCGACTTCGGCCGCGCGGGAGAAGGGGTGACGGGTGCTTAATACCCACCCGTCTTTCTCCTGGCGCGTCGGTTAGAGTAAGATAAGGGGGGAGTGGAAGCCTGGGTGGGGCTGGGCTCCACTCCCCCGCCCCCTCCTTCGGAGGAGAGCAATGGGGGGCACGGAGGGTGGGTGGATGCCCCCTCCCTCCAAGTAATCACCAGAAGGCCAACCTGGTCGGGAAACCGACCGGGGGACCACGCTCTGGACTCCCTCAGTGGGACAGGGTGCAGTACTCGATGATGTGGGGCTCCCGGAGAGTCCTGGAACCGGGGTGTTGGGGAGGGAATGCAGGAGCAGTTCCCCTAACTCCCCTCATCACGGTCCGGTTGGTAAACATCTCGCAGAGGTTTTAGTCAGTAAGAGTCTGACATAACCTCCGACTTCCTCCCAACGGGTTGGTAGTATCCATAACGGATTTCCCCTGCGTTTCCAAAAAAAAAGATTCGGCAGCTCGGATGGCTCGGTGGCCATTATGGCAGAACCCGCAACGGGGTCCCCCGTGAACTCAGGAAGACTAGGACCTCGTATGTGGCAGTCGACTGCGGGCCCATCATTGTGGTGAGGATGTATCTCCCCCACCGCCGAAATAGGGTCGGTCTCGATGACCTTGCCTGCATAAAGGTGATCCTCGACGGGGTCGAGGGTGTGGTATGTCAGTGCCGCCCCCGACCTGTAATAATTGCGGGGACTTCAACGTCCACTCTGACGGGTGGGGTTGCGGTCCCCGACTGGGGGATCCTCGAAGGGACAGTGCCGTGGTCGATTGGGCTGCGGGGTTAGACCTCCTGTTGATGAACAGGGGGTCAACCAGCATCGGCGTGCGGCCGGGGGAGGAGTCAGTCATATATTTGACCTGGGTTTCCCCCTGGGCCGCCCGGATGTTCCGGGAGTGGGTGGTAGAGTCGGAGGGCCAAACACTGTCGGATCACCGATATATAGTGTGGGCCCTCCGTCTCCTCGCCCCCACGCGGCTACTGGACCGACGCCCAGGGGAGGGGGAATTCCTTCTCCCCAAGATTTGGGCCCTTGGTCGACTAGACGCGGACAGGTTTCGGGCGGCCGTACTCGTGGCTACCTAGCACCTGGATGAAGGGCCAGGTGAGTGGAACCTTAGCCCCCAAGAGGGGGCTAAGGAATTAGTGGACATCGTGGCGTTGGCGTGTGACGTTGCGATGCCCCGGTCCAACCCCGCCGGCGCCAGGCCACTTGCTGGTAGACGGAGGCCATCGCGGATCTTCGCGAGGCCTCCGTCTACCAGCAGTACAAGCCTCCGTACAAGCCAGAAGGGTGTATACCCGCGCCCGGCGACGAGGCGAGGATGCCGCGAGGGCGTGGGAGGCATACCTCGTTGCGAAGAAAGTATTCAAAGGCGCCATCGCTTAGGCAAGGCGAGGAGCCTGGGAGCAACTGGTGAGCTCCCTGGATGAGGATCCGTGGGGGCGCCCATACAAGCGGACGATGGGTAAACTCCGTTTGTGGACGCCTCCGCCTACGGAGGCTCTAGATAACCAGGCTCTCGAGGGGCTCCTGGACATCCTCTTTCCGAGGATGGAAGCCCCCCCAGATCCCCGTTCCCGAGTTACGGGACGGGGACTGGAACGAAAGCCTGGGGGTCGATCCAGAGGAGCTTGCCGGGGTCAGGAAAAAACTCGGGGCAGGGGTTTTCCCCTTGGCCCCGATGGTATTCCTGGTCGCGCCTGGTCTCTCGCAGGACAGGGAAGCCTGTCCGAGGCCATGGGAGTTCTCATGAACAGGTGCCTCAGGAGGGGGCATTCCCCCCAGAGTGAAAGAGAGCCAGGTTGGTCCTCCTCCCGAGGGAGAGCGAAGTGCCCGGCGGCGCGCCGACCGTCCCATCCAGCAGGCCGATATGCCTGCTGGATGGGACGGGAAAGATGGTCGAGCGCATCATTGCCGACCGTCTCATCCAGCATCTGTCCTCGGAGGGGCCGAACCTCCACGACCATCAATGCGGGTTCGAGTCCGGATGATTCACGCTAGATGCCATCCAGTACGTTCGGGTCCTGACCCATAGGGTCGTGGAGAAGGGCGGGGTATTGATGGCGATGTCGTGGACATCACCGTGGACAACGCATTCAACTCTCTGCCCTGTAGATTGGACGGGCGCTCGAATATCATGGGATGCCCGTCTATCTCCGGCGCATTCTATCGGCCTGCTTCGGGAGCAGGGACCTAGCCTACTCGGAGAGGCGGGGTCCAAAGTCGGCGTGCCATGGAGCGTGATGTTCCGCAGTGGTCGGTCCTCGCCCCCCTGCTGTGGAACATCGCGTTTGACAGGGTGCTTTGCTCTCCCCTCCCCCTGGCTGCCGTTATCTGCTATGCAGATGACACATTAGTTGCAGCCAGGGGGAAAGGCTGAGGGGAAGCTCACCTCCGAGCGGAGACGACGCTGGAGTCCGTGGGCACCATCAAGGGCCTAGGACTGAAAGTGGCGCCCCAGAAGACGGAGGCCATGTATTTTCATGATGTATTTTCATGGTCCCATCGAGGGGCGCCACCGGAGTCCCGGGTCCTGGTGCATGGATTCCACGTCCGCGTCGGGCCTAAGATCAAGGATTTGGGCCTGACGTTGGACGGCCGCTAGAATTTCGAGGCCCATTTCAGGAGCCTGGCCTCCCGGGTTTGTAAAGCAGGCTTGGCATAGGCCAGCCGGATGAGGACCAAGGGGGGTCCAAGATGGCACGCTCGCCGCTTCTATATCGGTGTGGTGCTCTCGGTCGCCCCCTACGGGGCGCTCATATGGGCACCCCAACTTATGGCCACCAGCCGCAACAAGAGTCGCCTGCAACAGGCGATGCGGTCGGTAATCGTGAGGGCGATTCGGAGGTGCCGCACCATCTCGTATAGAGCGGCGACGGCCCTGGCCGGCTCACTCTCCCCGTGGAGCTCCTTGTCGAATCAAGGCATACCTTCTATTGGAGGGTGATGGAGCTCCGCGAAGAGGGGGAAGGTTCCTCGGCCAGGGACCTGAAGGCCTCAGAATCGCAGGCAAGATCCCGAGTCCTGGAACGGTGGTCAGCCATATTGGCTGACCCCAAAGGATTCGGGATCCGAATGACCGAGGCCGTGGCAGAAATAGCAGGCAGGGACGCGGGCTCACCTTCCATATGGTGCAAGTGCTGACCGGGCACGGGTGCTTCGATCGGTACCTGCCCCGGATTGGAAGGGAGCCCATCACGGGCTGTCACCACTGCCCGGAGCCGCAGGACATGGCGGAGCACATCTTGGCCGTATGCCAGGCTTGGGCTCCGCAACGCCGTGTCCTCGCTCGGGTAGTGGGGTGTCAAGAAGGGCCCTCTCGCTACCGCATTTACTCAAAGCAATGTGCGGGAGCGAGGAGCTTTGGGGAGCAGCGGCCTCCTTTTGCTGGGACGTCATGTCTCGCAAGGGGGCCGCCGAGTGGGAGCGCCGCCCAGAAGTCTGTCGCAGGGAACGGATAGGCGTCGGATAGGGTAGGCGAAGGGGGAGTGGAAGCCCGGATTGGGGCTGGGCTCCACTTTCCCGCCCCCTCCTATGGAGAGGAGCAATGGGGGACGCGGAGAGAGGGCGGGTGTCCTCTCTCTCCTAATTAACACCGGAAGGCCAGCCCGGCCGTGCAACCGGCCGGGGTACCGCGCCCTTGACTCTCAAACTGGGAGGGGCGCGGTACTTACGCGTGGGTCTCCTTGAGAGCCCTGGGGCCGGGGTGTCAGAGAGGGAATGCAGGCATAGTTCTCCTGACTCCGCCCACCACAGTCTAAGCTGTAGACACCCCGCATGGGTTTTAGTCGGTAGAGGTCCGACATAACCCCCGCCCTCCCCAAGGTGCGGTGGTATCCATGAGGATTTCACCTGCGTGAACAAAAAAGCTCGCCAATCTGGGCCCCTTGGGTCCGCATAAGGCCGGTCAGAGAATGGTCTGCCCTGCGAACCCGGGGGTCAGCTGCCTGAAGTGCGGCCCAGATCCCAATCGGCCGTCCAGCGTCAGACCTAGATATTTAATCGTGGGCCCGACGCAGATACGGACACCATCCTTTACACGTGGGTGTGGTGTTCTCAAACGCCCTCTATGGGGCGCCCATACGGGCGCCTCATTGGCCACATGGGCAGCTTAAGGCCACCGGCCGCAGTAAACACCTAATGCATCAGACGCTGCAGTCGGTGGTTGTGAGGGCGTTTCGGGTGTACCGCACCGTATCGTATATGGCAGCGACGACCCGACCAAATCCCCCCTCGTGGAGTTCCTCGCAGAGGGGCGAAGCACTCTCTATTGGAGGGTGCGGGAGCTCCACGAGGTGGGGAAGGAGGTAACAGCCAGGGGCCTGGCAGCCCTGAAACCTCAGGCTAGAGCTCGGGTCATGGAGTGGTGGAACGCCTTGTTGGCGGACATGGGAGGACCCCGCGGATCCGAGCTCCAAATGGCCGAGGCCGTCCACCCCTCTCTGCCGGCGATGGTAGACAGGCGGGGCATGTACTCACGTCGCATCTGGTGCAGGTGTTGATCGGACACGGTTTCGGTCGATTCCTGCATCAGATTCAAAAGGAGCCCAACATACGATACCACCACTGCCAAGAGCTCGAGGACACGGCGCATCATACGCTGGCCGCATGCGAAGCATGGGGCCAGCAGCTCCGTGTCCTCGTCCGAGCGGTGGGTTGCGTTGAGGAATATAACTACTCGTAGATAACTACCTCGCAGAAGGAGGCGAATATTTCCCACTTTCTCTCTCTCCCCACTATGGCATTGACTACCGTGGGAAGTGAAAGATCTTGTCCTATTTCTCGGATCACGACTCCGCACTCTGCAGCCTATGCGGGGCAGTCTTGCAATATATACTACGCGGAGTCGTGATCGCAATCGCAGTGGTGGCAATGCGTTATGCGTTCTTTGCCTATACGACACAGGTACTCACCGAAACAACCATGCCCGGTGAGTACCTGTGTCATCCTGAATGTCACGGTCCCGAATGCCCTATCTACCCCCTCTGGTAGGCAGGGCTGGACAGCCCCGACAGTCCTCCTCTCATATTTGACATTTGCCAAATGCCTCTGCCATCTTTGGAGGAGGAGCTGCCGAGCCTGGTGCTTCGAGCGCCGCATGGTTCCGGCGAGCGCCTCACCTGCATCCCCTGTACGTCTGAGCTCCTGCCTCTTCACGTACATGGAACGATACGTGAGGGCTACGAGCTCCAGGGGAGGCATGCCCGCCAGAGCCGTCTACGTCGCCGCTACGTGGGATACCGTCCTGTAGCTTCGAAAGACTCTGACCGCCACCGTCCTGTGCGCTCTGCGCAGTAGCGCCTGAAGTGGACGGTTGACGGCTAGAGCCTCGGCCCATACCGGCGCTCCGTAGAGTGCTACCGAATTAATTATCCCAGCATGGAGGCGACGAGCCTTCCGATCTGCTCCCACGATGTTTGGCATTAATCTGCCCAAATTGGCTGAAATAACTCTTAATCGGGAGACCAGGCGGTTTATGTACTTTTTGAAGCACCAGGAGCCGTCCAGTGTGAGGCCCAGATACCTCATTTGGGCCTCAATCAGGACCCTGACTGTTTCTATCCGCAGCTGAACCTGGAGTGGCTTCATCCCCTTTTCGTGAAAGAAAATAGCTCCTGTTTTTCTTTCAGCCACCACCAGACCTAGTCTGCGGATGACACGCACAACGCATGCCACCGCGATGTTAGCCATCCTCACGGCATCACCCCAGTCTTTCCCCCCGGTCAGTACTAGCATATCGTCCGCGTAGCACAATATGCTACAGTCGGGGAGGAATGCTGCTCGGAGGACTGAGTTATAGCCAAGGTTCCACAAGAGCGGGCCCAACACGGACCCTTGAGGAATTCCGCAACTCATCCCCCTCTCGCGTACTTTGCTGTCGGCGTCCATCTAGCTTAGATGCCGACCCTGGAAATAATCCTCGATGACGGCCGTGAGGTAGGGTGGGAAGTCAAAATAGTCCGACATAGCTTTCATCAACCTACCCTAGGGCAGGGTGTTAAATGCGTTAGCTATATCCAATGATACAGCAACTGCCACCCTCCTGCCGATGGCCTCCGAGAGGGATCGTAGACGTAGAATCGTTCACGGTTGATCTTCCCTCTCGGAAGCCATATTGGCCATCATCAAGGTTTAGACCTTCCCGGAACATATGCTTCGTGAGGTGGGCAGCTTTCACGCGTTCGAATAATTTGCCCGCCTCATCGAAGAAACATATGGGCCTTTACGCGGAGAAGTCCTCCGGCTTGCCCTCTTTTCGGAAGAGGACCACATTGGCCCTCCCCCAGACTGGGGGGAACCTCCTTTCCCTTAGTGCTTGGGAGAAAATCCCCGCCATTCAGATACCCCGAGGTCAGGGTAAGGACTCAGCCGGGGATGCATCGGGTCCTGGAGCTTTGCGGCTCTTGACCCGTTTGATGATATCGGCCACCTCCTCCTCAGTGACCCCGGTACCTCCCCCTGCTGTTCGGGAGTAGGGGTTCTATATGGGGCAAATGGGAATATGGGTCATGGGAATCCCTTCCCTAACCGGGAAGAGGGTTCCCATGACCTGTTCAAGGAACCGGGGGTCAAGCGTCTCCGTTAGTTGGGGCGTCCATGGCTTTAACTTTAGCATAGCCAACTTGTATGGACGCCCCCACAGATCCGCATCCAACGTTTGGAGGAGGGTGTCCCACCCTTTCCCCTGACCGCCCCTATGGCACCGCGTAATGCCGCTGCTGCCATGCAAAAGTCCATTCAGGCGGCCAGGATGGCCTCGGGGTCCGAATCCCGGTTATTTCGGGTCCTTCTAAAAATTCGCCTGAAGTGGACCGATTTCTGCCTAAGATCAGCGATGTCTTCGGTCCACCACTAGGCGGATCTTTTTGGGCAGGACTTAACTCTGGGCATGGCTTAGTCACACGCTTGTGTGATTGTATCCATGATTTCCATTACCTCAGGGTCTAGGTCCTGCCCTTCCTTCCACTGTAGCCAAGTGGCTGCCTCTAGGGAAATCTCTAACATTTCCCTGTTAAGTTGACTAAGGGCCCATCGTTTGGGTCGGGGTCCTTCCTTTCGCCTGGGCCGCAATCCATTGGGGGTGATGGAGAACTCCATCTTTATAAGTAAATGATCCGACAGAATGATCCGACTCGAGCTCCTCCGCCACCCTCCTGGCCTGCACCCGTCCATGGGCCGCAGGAGTTGCCCATGAGAGGTCTATAATAGACTCCCCCTGTGGCCCCACAAAGGTTGATTTACCTCCTTCATTCAATAGGTGCAGACCCAGTTCAGCGGTCCAGTCTTCCACCTCCTCTCCCTCCTGTCACCTCACCGAGAACCCCATAGATCTGATTTCGCGTTGAAATCCACGGCGACGATGACATCCCGGGAGGTACCGTCTAACAGCCCATCCAATGTCTGGGAGCTTGGACCTGTATCCTGGTAGGTCCAGGCTCCTCACTGGGAGGAGATAGACCCTGATTACAATCAGGGCCCCCCACATGGCCACGACAAAACCTCTCCCTTTTCCCTTCTGGGCTGCGGGAGGGAAGTTTTTATTCGCCCTCCATACGATAGCGACGGAGCCCAGTTCATCCTCGAACCATCTAGGGTGGTTCTTGGGGATATGATTGGTCTCCGCCGCTATTCCCAACTCTGCACCGTGCTCCGCCATAGTGTGCTCAAAGAGCGGCATAGCTTGACGCGGTGCAGGTTGGATTGGAGGTGCTGGGTATCCATTATTCGTCAAATACTATCAATAATTTTCCCTCCGACTCCTCCCTACCGTCACTTTCATTCTCCTCCATCGTACGGGCAAGTCTCTTCCCTCTCCTCTCTATGTCCATCCCCTCATCTTCCTCCTGTTAGGTGTTGGAGGGAGGGGTCTGGACGGGTGGAGGGGGTAAGAGCTCCGTTATCCTCTCTTTTCTTCCTCCCTGTACAAGGGGACAGAAGATATGGATGACGTCGGTGCGGATACCCCAACGCCCTTCTGTCCTCTCCTCATCCTCCTTTTTTTAGGAGGGTGACAGGCCGGCCCCCATTTTATGGCCCGCAGGATGACCCGCGTCCGAGCAGATTTGACATCTGGCTTGAGCTTCGCAATCTCAGGTCACGTGTCCAGCTTCACCACATCTATAACAATTCTGCCTCCTGTCTACATTGTTGTTGCAATTGTACTGGACATGACTCTTTTCGAGACACTTGTAACATTGCATAGGTCTCGCATCCAGCAGTTCTGCCCTTATCTAGGTCCAGCCCATGGCCAGTGTCACCTTCTCTGCTACTCCTTTTGCAGCCACCAGGGGACACTGCATCCATAGGGATCTGGAGCCGGCGTGATCCTTATCTTACCCGTTTTTATATCGGATATCCCACACCCCCTTCCTTCGTCACACATTCTGCCGCCTCGTCTTCCGTGGTTGAGATTTCGAGGCCTCTCAGCCTGATTTCCTCCAATTTTTGGGGGCGGTTCACCCTTGCCCTGTCAGTCAAACCTCTCTAAGCGTCCCGGCGAAGAGGTCGGCTTGGGCACTTGTATTTTCACCGAGGATCTCCAGTATCAGAGCTCCCGTGGCTCCTTGCCTAGTCTTGATCTTGGAGATCCCCAGACTATTGATGTCTACCTTCCCTTTCGCCTCAACTAACTGCTCCTTGTACTGCCCTTTTTCTGCGGTAATAGAAATCGCCGCAGTGTTCGGAACTTTGCGCCTTGGCTTTTTCCCTGTCGCTCCTCTGCTGTCCGTCATTTTAACGGATTGCCTCGGGGGTTGCCTTTTTTCCACCTCCTTCCTCTCCCTTCGTTTCTCTTTCCTTCCTTCTACCTTCACCCACGTTTCCTGGGATACAGCATTGTCCTTTTCTAGTCCTTGCTGTGTTAGCAGTGGGAATTCCTCCCTTGAAAGGGATGGAGCAGGAGTTTGTGATTGAGGCCCCGCCTTATTCTCCTGCGGCTGTTTAACAGATACTCTGCCTGACTCAGCCTTCACTCCCATTTTCTTCCTTTCTCTCTTTTTCCTCTGAGGCAGAGGTTTCTCCATAGGTGTACTCATCATTGGTCCCTTTTGTCCTTCATTCCTTTGCGATGTCCACATGTTCATCGCCTGAAACACCATGAATGTCACCCTTTCCTCTAGGGATTTCTCTTTCTTTTCCCCATGACCTGGTTTTCGATCCTAATTCTTTTGTTCAGAAGAATGTTCTCCCTTATCCTAAGGCCGGACTTGCCGTTTTCTGTGGCCTTGACTTCCCCCTGTCCTTCTTTTATGAGGTTGGTAGCTCACGGTCTTATTGTGCCGGGTTGAACCTCAATAGCCCCCATAACTGCTTGCACCTCCTCATCTGTGTCTGCAGTCGGGAGGATATTCCTCTTCCCCGAAAACTGCCTTTTCACCTCCTCCTCTTTCACATATATCGGTGGTGAAGAGGTAACCGGCGCTGGTGGTGGCGTCTCCCTTAGACAGCGGAGTGTCTCCTTTAAGTCTTCGACTTCCTTCCCCATTGCCTCCAGCGAAGTCCGGAGTCTTTGAATTCCTTCGCGCAACTCTTCAAGGATCTCAAGGCTTTCTCCCGTTTCAATCATGGCCATCCTCTTAGCCATGAATGTAGTTCCCACTGCGATTGCTGCTGATGCATCCCGTAGTACTTTTACGTACGTTCCCTTTAGATCTTTTGAGCGGACGGAAAAACCCAAGATCCGCGCAGCCGCTTCTAATACAGATGCGGTCAGGTCTTTAAATGGGGCTTCTTCCAAATGCTCGGTCAGCCTCCTCACCTCCGTCCTATACTTCCGGTTATCAGAGCAATCCTGGAATACCTCAACCGGATTTTCCAGCCCCTTCAATAATCTTTCCTCCCTTTTCCTCTCAACGAGGTCCTTTCTCTTAACCAAAAACGCTATCTTTTTTCTATATTCACCTGTTGTTTCAGGCCTTCCTCTTGGGAGGAACGCTTTTACCTCGAATTTCTTCTCATCCGTTTCCCTGTCGGTTTTCACAGGGATATCCCATCCTCCCTCCTTGGGTTCTGCCTTTCCTTCAATCCTGTTAGATGAGGTTGATTCGGGTGAGGATTGTGATTTCTATAGGCGTCCTCGACTTGGACCTGGAGGATTCTACCACTCCCGTCGCGCGTTGGGTGTTACCACGTGTGGTCCTCCCTTCTTCTTTATCATCGATGGATGCGCTGCGGAGTCCATCTCTTCTTGCCACCCTGCTAGTGCATGGATGGTCTTCAGCGGTCCTTATAGCCGCCTCCTACTTTCTGGAGCGGCAGCCTGGAGGGGCCTCCAGCTCACTCGTGTCCCTTTGGCTTGCCAGGATCATCATATTTAGTTCCATGTTCGTTAATAATACTTTATGAAATTCGCTCATTTCGGTTTATAACCCACAACCCCGCACGGCTTTCTTGCCCGGGCATGCCCGCATCCCCCCGGAAGAGGGAAGTCTGGGAGTTCCCTCAGAGGAGCAACATATGGCGCGGGCCGGCGGAATGTATCATCGCCGGCATTGGTCTCCCGCCCCCTACACGCGCCCTGACCCCCATTGCTGGAAGCCTGCCCGGTTTCGGGGGACCCCGGCCTCCGACTTTCGGGGCACCGCTGGGGGCGCCGCCACGCGGGGGGTCCCATGGAAGGAGGAAGTCCACCAGTGTCGCACCCCACCGGGAACGCCTCCCCCATGGCAGCCAGCGTGCTCGCGCTCCCTCGTGGACGCCACCTTGTCGTGGTGGGGAAGCTTGCGTGTCCCAATGATGTATAGAACTGTACCGGCGGGGGTTTCGACCACTGGCAGGTTCTACCATGCCGGGGTGGCCTGTACAGAGGGACTAGACTAAGAGCGTCCATAATACTCCTGGATGGGCAGCTGCCTCCAGGTTTTAACCAGGGTCTGTAGGATCCTTTGGGTCCCACTCGTGGGTCCAGCTCGTTAGCCTGGTGAAGGCAACCGGTCTAGGGGAAGGAAAACCCCGAAATTACACCCGAGTGGGTAGGGCTCATAACAATCCTACACAGGATGGATTTACTATGACTAACGAAAGGCACAACGTTTCGGTACTCGGAGCCGAAAACCGGCGTGAGGTTGAGGATATTGTCCCGATCGCCCCCACGTCGTCATCCAGCGACGGGCCATCGCAGATGTTGATCACGAGCATCTGCGAGGAAATGACTATCGTGAAGCGTCGTGTCGGGGAGCCGCACCTGGGCCCCGCCATGTCGTCAACAGACGACAGGTCAGCCGCTGATAATAGCTCCTACAGGAGCCGAAGTCGGAGCCTGACTGACAGTAGCGAAAGTTACTGTCAGTCTTCCGACGGGGATCCGGATTTTGATCCCGGAATCCGGACCCACTCCGTGCAGCAATGCCGGAGAGACCGCTCCCGCCGGGGAGTGAGTCAAGCGGACCCCTCGGGAAGAAAGAAAGGGGTGCCGTGCACCGAGGGAGAGCGAACCCTGGCGAACACCGGCCAGAAGCGCGGTCCCTACCGAGGGACTCGCTACGTGAGCCCTCGGCAAGAAGAGGGACAGCCACGCTTCGGGAGAATGCAACCCTCGTCGGAAGACGAGATGCATCTCTCCCACCGGGGGGAAGACGAGGCGGATCCCCGAAAAGAAGAGGGACCACCCAACGAGGGAACGGGGCTGACCAGGGGCAAAGGCGCCAATTCCTCAGGCAGGACGCTTAGTAAAAATAGGCCTGGCCCCCTCTCTAGTAAGAGGTGGGGATGGGTTTCCGGGGGAAGGGACGCGTACGCGTGCGCGACCGGTAAATGGGGAAAACCGGTAATTGTATCAGACGTTCTCCTTTCGCAGAAGTCAAGAGTGGAGAGGGACGAGCGTGGCAGATTCGTCTCCTCTACCACTCTGAAATCCAACAGCAACACCGGCAAGGATTTCGCGACTCCTGAACGCGTGAAAACGAAGGCCCTTGTCTCCAACGAGGCCGGAGTTAGCGGGTGGGGACTCAGGACAAGGGGAAGAGAAGGAGGAAGAATATCAGCGGGAATTCCATCATCTCCCTAGGGGATTCGTCTCCCAAGAAGCAGAACACCCCGGTACCTGTCCTTAACAGAAAAAGGGACCCAAGGGGTAGGAAGCCCACCACCGGTCTGGGGGTGGGCCTAAGGGAAAAAAGGGAGGCGGAAACAGCTCGAAAATGGCTGGAATAAATGCCTGGAAAAGGATATTGAGAACCTCCTTAATATAGGCATACTGAGGTCACTGGCGGACAGAAGTCCTATGGAGGAGATGTTCAAGGATGCCTGCTCCGCTACCCTCCTCAGGGAGGCCTCTACGTCAGAATTGGCCTCGGAGGCAGGCCGTGCGCTCGGTGTTCTGAGATTAGTGGCACGAAGGTCAAATACCCTCAAGGGGACCTTCGTGTCCCTCATGAACCGGGCGGTAGGCTCCTCCGAGGCCATTCTTCAGACCCTCATGGTTAGGTTTGCGGCCACCGACGGCAGGACAGACGAACGGTCCAATCTGGAGGCGGAAATGAACGAGTTGAGGGAGGAGAACCAAAAGCTAAGATTGGAAAACGGAAAGCTGCTCGAGGAGAAGAACGCTGCTAAGTTGTCCTCAGTCGCGCTCCTCTCTCAGCCCGTTCTGCACCAACATCGCAAAACATTTGCAGAGGCTGCAGGTGGCAGCTCCTCGGCCTCGGACGCTGACACAAAGGAAACACCGAAGCGAGGGATGAGGGAAAAGAAGAGGAGGAAAGTAACAAAGACTCCAATATTGGAGCCTTCCTCCAATTCTTCCGTGGAGACAAACACGATTGCTGTCTATGACGACAACCTAGACCTCCATAGGTGGGAGGAGGCCACCGCTCCGGTGGCGGTCAAAAGACCCCCATTGAAGGGAATCCAGATCTGGACGAATCCCTGGCATTCCAAAACATGGATCCGGAGGCCAGGGATAAATACACCCAGATGACGCAGGAACTGGAGAGGCTGGTGGACGCCAGGGCTGAACTGGACCCGAAGGGGGAGGATCACAGGGTGGTCACTGCGTCCATCAGAAGATTAACAACAGCAAGAGCGGTCATCATGGAATTGGGACCTGGGAAGGTGTCTTCCGGGCTGACGACGCGGGCCTCTGCCCCGGATCCCACTCCCCCTCCGAATGGAGAGGCGAAAGTCAAACCGGTCGTAGGGGGGGCGGGGCTGGGAACCAAGCGCCTAAGGCCAGGGGGACATCGGCCCAAAGGAGGAAGAAGAAGCTGAAGGGGAAGGAGAGGATGAGGAGAAGGAAAGCTGAAGCCAACAACAGGAAACAGGAGGGGGAGGGAGAGGAACGGATAAACCCAAGGCCAGCTCCCCCCAGTAAACAGGTTAGTATGACGTATGCCCAAATAACGAAAGTTGTAGGGAAGGAGGACAAGGGGAGAAGCGACCGACAGCCGATAGTGAACGCCGCCCAGCCCTCCAGACAACTCCGGACTACACTTCCAGAGTCAAAAGGGCAAGAGGAAGGATGGACTCTAGTAAGGAGTACGAGGGACAGAAAGAAGCAGAAGAACAGGAAGAGGGGACCCCTCTTCCTCAGCCTGCCAAGGCCAGGAGAAAGGAGGCAGTAGTATCGCGGCCGCCAAGATCTGCGGTCGTCACGATCACTTGCCCCAAAGACTCCTATAAGGAGTTTATGGTTGAAGCCAGGCGCCGAATAAAACCCGCGGATGTTGGCATACCAGGCGCCCTAAAAATCAGGACGGCCCGTACCGGGGCCTTACTAATTGAGGTGCCTGGCTTCAACGCGGGGCTCTCCGCTGACCGGCTTGCCGCAGAACTCGGCAAGTTGGCGGCGGAGAAAGGCCCCGGCTACAGCATCCAAAGGCCGGTGAAGACTGCAGCATTGCGTCTCACTGGACTGGATGCGACAGTCGGGGACGAAGACGTGACGGCCGCGGTGGCCCTCGCTGGGGGCTGCCCACCCACGGACGTGCCCGGAGTTGAGCTGCGGTTTACCCAGCGAGGGACAGCCACAGCTGTGGTGCGGTGCCCGCTGGCGGCGGCCTCCAAGGTCGCTGCCGCGGGTCGGATCGTAGGTTGGACCCGAGCCGGGGTGACGGCGTTGCCTGCTCGCGCGGAGCTCTGTTTCAAATGTATGGAACAGGGTCATGTGCGCTAGCAGTGCAGAAGCGCCGTCGACTGAAGCGATAATTGTTATCGCTGCGGTAACCACGGCCACCGCGCCAAATATTGCACGGCGACCGCGGTGCACTGCCCCGTATGTGCAGATGCGGGAAAATGCCCGCCGGACCAATGGCCATAAGGCCAGGGGTCCGGCGTGCAGACCTCTAACTGGGAGACAGAGGAGGAGGAGAGAAGCCCAGAGGAGGAGACAACCTGGACCCGGGATGACCGATATTCCTCCCGATCCAGGAAAGAGTGGAGACAAGGAAAGGGGGAGACCAGACCGGTCTCTCCCCCAACGCGGGAGGAAATGCAGGTGGTGACGGCAACTAGCCGCAGCCTGGACACCACCACCCCTATGGAGGAGGAGCCGAAACAGCAGAGGGGGAAAAGAAGCAGGACGGCAATGAATGCGGCCCTTCCAAAGGCTTCAATGGCGGAGGCTTCAACTGGAGAGGAGTCTGCGACGCCAGAAAGGTCGGATAAGGTAAGAAGGGTGGAGACCCCACTCCCAACCACCCTAGATGGAGAGTTGGAGGATGCGCCACCCCCGACTCCCCCGGACAGCCTCCTCCCTCGTACTCCCGAGAGGAGGGGGAGGTGGAGGTAGGAACCCCCAAAGTAGGAACCTCCATCGCACCAACGGAGGAAGTGGCTGACACCATTCAGGCACCTGTAGAAGTAGCCGCCACTATGGCCAAGGAGGAGACGGGGACGGCGTCATCGCCGCCTGAGATCGCTCCGAATGGTACCGAGGGGGAACGCCCGGAAGAGGCGTGAAGGCCTGGCTTTCACGCTCCTCCGGGTGTCACAGGCCAACCTGGGTCGAGGCGCCCGTGCGCAAGACTCTGATGTCAGAGGCTTGCGGAAATGGGCGCCGGCCTAGGTTTGGTCACGGAGCTGCCCTATGTTCCGGGCAGTAATAAAAACTGGCTGGACAGCAAGTGTGGCTCCGTGGCCATGGTGGTTAGACCCGCAACGGGCGTCCCCACCTGTAAAGTCAGGAAGAGGGGACGCTCGTATGTGGCGGGTGACCTGGGGCCCATCACGGTTGTGGGGGTATATTTAGCCCCCGCGACCAATAAGTCGGGCCTCGGCAAACTCGCTCGCATTGTGAGGGTCCTGGACAGGGTCGGGGATGTGGTACGCCAGTGTCACCCCCGACCCGTGATCGTTGCCGGGGACTTTAACGCCCACTCAGAGGAGTGGGGGTGCAGTCCCCGGCAGGACCCCCGGGGCGACGCCGTGGCCGACTAGGAGGCGGGTTTGAGCCCCGTGATGTTAAACACGGGGTCACCAGCACCTTTGTGCGGCCGGGGGGGAGGCGAGTCGGTCATTGACCTGACGTGGGCCTCCCCCTCGGCCGCCAGGTTATTCCGGAGGTGGGTGGTGGAGAAGGAGAAAGAGTCCTTATTAGACCACAGATATGTGGCTTGGACTCCTCACCCCCCTCTGGAGGCTGGACCGCCGCCCAGGGAAGGGGGACCGTCCCCTCCCCAAAAGATGGGCCTTGGGTCAATTGGACGCGGACAGGTTTCAGGCGACCGTCCTCGCGGCGACCTGGCACCTTGATCAGGAGCCAGGTACAAGGGACCCTCTGCCTCCCCTTGAGGGGGCTAAGGAGGTAGTGGGCATCGTGACGTCGGCCTGCGACGTCGCGATGCCCCGGTCCCATCCCCGCCGGCATCGGGCAGCGTACTGGTGAACGCAGGAGCTTGCGGAACTCCGCGACTCCTGTGTCCAAGCCAGACGGGCGTATGCCTGGGCCCGGCGAACCGGCGGGGACGCCGCGGGGACACAAGAGGGCTACCGCAATGCGCGGAAGGCCCTCAAGGCCGCCATTGACGACGCCAAGGCGAGAGCATGGGAGCGCCTGGTGGACTCCTTGGACGAGGACCCGTGGGGGCGCCCATACAAACGGACGGACGGGAAGATCTGTCCGTGGGCGCCCACCTACGGAGTCCATGGATCCCCGGGATCTCAGGGACCTCCTCGACACCCTCTTCCCGAGGGTCGAGGGGGGACCACTCAGAATCCCCGTTCCTGACCAGGACGGGGACTGGGACGAGGACCTGGGGATCTCGGCCGAGGAGTTCACCAGGGCCAGGAAGAAGCTCGGGGCCAAGGGCAAAGCCCCAGGCCGCGACGGGATTCCTGGCCGAGCGTGGGCTCTCGCACTTGGCGACGGAAGCCTGTCCGCCGCCACACGGGAGGCTTTGGAAGGGTGTTTGAGAGAGGGAGTCTTCCCCCAAGAGTGGAGGAGGGCCAAGTTGGCCCTCCTCCCCAAGGAGAGCAGGGTACCCGACGGGCCGCCGGCCTACAGGCCGATTTGCCTGCTGGACGAGGCGGGCAAGATGTTGGAGCGCATCATTGCAGACCGCCTCGTCCGGCACCTGTCCCTGGAGGGGCCGGACCTCCACGACAACCAATACGGGTTCAGGCCCGGACGCTCAACGCTGGATGCACTTCAGCACGTCCGGGACCTGTCCCGTACCGTCGTGGAGGTCGAGGGCGGGGTGTTGTTGGCGGTTTCGTTAGACATAACGAATGCCTTCAACACCCTGCCCTGGCCGGAGATAGGACGGGCGCTAGAGCACCACGTTGTTCCCGCCTATCTCCGGCGCATAATGGCTGATTACTTCAGGGACAGGGACCTCGCCTACTCGGGGAAAGGCGGGGTCCAAGGCCGGCGCCTAATGGAACGCGGTGTTCCACAGGGGTCCGTACTGGGACTCCTACTCTGGAACATCGCTTTCGACCGGATATTGCGTACTCCCCTCCCCCCCAGCTGCCATGTCGTCTGCTATGTAGACGACACTCTGGTCTTAGCCGAGGGGAAGGCTTGGCGGGAGGCTCACCTCAGGGTGGAAGCCGCTTTGCACTCGGTGGTGAATACCATCAAGGACCTGGGGTTCAGAGTGGCCCCCCAGAAGACCCAGTCCATGCTATTCCATAGACGGGGTCGAGGGGGGCCACGAAAAGCCCGGGTCCTTGTGGACGGAGTCCGCGTCCGCGTCAGCCCCCGATGAAGTATCTGGGCCTGACGTTGGACAGCCAGTGGAATTTCGGGGCCCACTTCAGGAGTCTGGCCCCCCAGGTCCGCAAAATAGGCACGGCACTGGCCGGCCTGATGCCGACCCAGGGGGCCCTGGATGGTGGGCACGCCGCCTTTACGTGGGAGTGGTACACTCGGTCGCCCTGTACGGGGCGCCCATATGGGCGCCCCGCTTGTTGGCTACCGCCCGCAATGTGGACCTGCTCAGGCAGGCCACGCGGGCGGTGGTGATCAAGGCGGTCCGGGGGTACCGCACCATCTCCCACATGGCGGCGGCCTCCCTGGCAGGCTCCCCCTCGGTGGAGCTCCTCGCCGAAGAGAGAAGCCTCCTTTATTGGCGAATAAAGGAGCTCCGCCAAAGGGGGGAGGGCCCATCGGCCAGGGACCTGAGGGCCCTGAGAAACCAGGCCAATGACCGGGTCCTCGATACGTGGTTGTCTGAATTAGCCGACCCACGAGCATTCGGTCGCCAGATAGCCGAGGCTGTCCGCCCCTGCCTACCGGAAATGGTGGGTAGGAGGGGACGTGGACTATCGTTCCACCTGGTGCAGATACTGACCGGACACGGCTGTTTCGGGAGGTACCTGCACCGGATTGGTAAGGAGAACACCACCGAGTGCCACCACTGCCCGGAGCCGAACGACACGGCGCAGCACACCCTCACCGAGTGTGAGGCGTGGAGCGAACAGCGCCGTGTCCTGGCCCGGGCGGTGGGGTGCAGGATGGAGGACCTCTCGCTCTCGCGCATGGTGCGAGCCATGTGCGGGAGCGAGGAGGTATGGGGGGCGGCGGCCTCCTTCTGCAAGGACGTAATGTCCCAGAAGGAGGCCGCCGAGTGGGAGCGCTGACCCGACCCGGACTGCGTAGTACAGAGGGGTCGGAGAGGACGGCGCTCCCCGGGAGGTGAAGATAGTGACTCCGAGGTAGCGCCGGCCGGGAGGAGGCGGCGGAGACCGGCAACCCGGGCTCCGCGGCTCCCCGGCCGCCTTGGGGTCGGCTTCGGACGCGCGGGAGAGGGATGCGGAGAGGCAGGTGAATGACCTCCTCCCGCACTCCCTCGCGCGTCGGTTAGGTAGGGACAGGGGGAGCGAGGCTCTCTGGGAAAGGGCCTCGCTCCCCCGCTCCCCCCCCAAAGTGGCAACTCTAGGGGGGTGGGAGCGGGGAGGTGGGATGGGTGTCCCCCCTCTCCCGAAAGATCACCGGAAGGCCAACCCGGTCGACGACAGCCGACTGGGGCGCCGTGCCTCGAACCTCCCCTCTAAGGGAAGGGGGAGCGGTAACTGGGCGTGGGGCTCGACTAAGAGCCCTGGGGCCGGGGTGTCGGGGAGGGAATACTGGCGTAGTTCCCCTGACTCCCCCCATCTCGGTCCGACTGGTAGACACCCCGTAGGGGTTTTAGCGAGTAAGAGTCTCACATAACCCTCCGCCCTTCCCAGGTGGTGGAAGGTACCCATGATGGGTTTCTCCTGCGTTATAAAAAAAAAAGCCAGCGTGCTCGCGCCGCCCGAGGGTCCGCTTTAGGGCGATGCGATCGCATTCCCTCGGGCACAGCACACAGGGGTTCCGGCCCCGACCTCGGAATACGTCCGAGCGGTCCGGGACACCCCTCCACCCCCCGAGTACCATGAGGGTAAATCCTCATGGTGTGCAGACCCGGGTATGAGTTGCTCCTTCGGCCGAGGCCGAACGGATGAGGGAAAACGGAGAGGTCCACCTTCTTCGGTTGCCGTAGCACCGACGTGCAATGCCTCCGAAGGTGGGGTCCTTTCCCCTATTCGCCCGAGGGTGCCTCAACCCTTGGAATAAGTCCGAGCGGCCCGAGACACCCCTCCATCCCCCGGGTACTATGGGGGCTGGCCACCATGGTGTGCAGACACGGGTGTGGGATCGTCTCCCCGCCCAGCCGTGACCGGGACGGATGAGGGGAGGAGGTCTAACCT